TGGATGAGGTTTTCCCGAGTATTTGGATGCTAGCGGAACACGGTGTGGCCAAGGGAAATAATACGTGTTGGGTCAACATGGACTATTGACCTTGACCGTTGACTTTGACCAAGTTGGACCTTGAAAGTATTTTAGGTATTTTGGGATTTTGATGGAATTGGTCACTTGGTGGAAATAGGTATCGGTTAGAGAGTTGAGATTCAACATCGGTCCTCATTAGTTCTGTTCAGTATGGGATGTGAGTATTCCTCATTGTACTTACAGGTCGAAGGTACCAATGTGTGTTGTAGTTATCTATTAGATGTGCATCCTAGTGGATAGGATGAGGCTATGCTTTGTGATCTATAAGATCTGTCTGTTTGTTTACTGGCTGGTTATTTGTATGCTTATCTATTATATGTGCACATGTTTGGTCAATGGCTAAGGCTTCACTGCTTTGTGCGTAAGCCAACAGGTCAGGGCATTCCAACCCGATGGTTGAGGGCTTAAGGTATTCCAACCCGATGGTTGATTGGACCCATAGTATGTTGGCATTCCAACCCGATGGTTGAGGGCCTTGGGTATTCCAACCCGATGGTTGATTGGACCCATAATATGTCGACATTCAAATCCAATGGTTGAGGGACTGGGGTATTCCAACCCGATGATTGATTGGACTCATAGTATGTTTTTATTGTATATGTGCTATTTGTTCCTGTGTTGGTATTTTAGGGGAAATCACTAAGCTTCGTGCTTATAATTTCATCTTATTGTTTCAGGTGCTTCATATGATTGTGGCGAGACGAATGCATGACCATACACATTTTTGGTTTTACAACTTATTAGATCTTCGGAGACTCTGATTTTAAATAATGTTTTGAAACAATTGTTTTGTAACATTTCTATTAGACAAAAGGGTTGTTTTTAAAAGTTTTAAATTTGTTCAAATTTTTGGGATGTTTAATTTTTGCACTAGAATTTTTGTTTCGCAACATTCCAAAATTATTTATTTTTCGGATATATATTTTGCTTTATGTGGAAAACATGAGTTTCTTTTAACTTATAATCATATAAAATTAGAAATGACCATAAAACCATAATTAACATTTTAAACATATAATACATACCAAAATGATCATAATAAAATGACCAATCATTCATTGAAATTAACATAAAAATCTTCTCTTCTAATAAAAGACTCATAAACATGCCACATGGCATCTTCTTAGACCCTCTATTTGCCACTAGGCAGTTTTTTGTTCAGCTATGTTTTAATTTCCCGCTCATTTTGAGTATCGATCAGATCAATTTGTATCCCGAAATTATTTATTTTTCGGATATATATTTTGCTTTATGTGGAAAACATGAGTTTCTTTTAACTTATAATCATATAAAATTAGAAATGACCATAAAACCATAATTAACATTTTAAACATATAGTACATACCAAAATGATCATAATAAAATGACCAATCATTAATTGAAATTAACATAAAAATCTTCTCTTCTAATAAAAGACTCATAAACATGCCACATGGCATCTTCTTAGACCCTCTATTTACCACTTAGGCAGTTTTTTGTTCACCTATGTTTTAATTTCCCGTTCATTTGAGTCTCGATCAGATCAATTTGTATCCCAAATAATCAGCAAACGTTATTGCTCTACAGTCTATTTGCTACTCTCTAAAGTTAGACATTTTCAATCTATCCCACAAAATCAGGATTGATTTACCTTCAACCCAATCTCAATAAATCACTATTGAAATCAACTTATCAACAACCACTCCTATTATCTTGGTTTTCGTCTATCGCTACGCCCTAGGACTCCCCTTCTATAACCATCATTTTACTCTCTCGCTATCTCTATGAAAACCTTAGAAATTTGAATGAACCACCACCACCTTACCTCCAGTGCTACACCCCACCACTGCCTCTGCTGATCTAAACCAATATCCAAACACCACAACCAATACCACAACACCACATCTCTTCCACCATCACATGATTTCCATCACTTCCTTCACAGTCTCTCTTACTTGAGATTTGTTTTCCTACTCATGCATCTTACGCTACTGAAAAAGACAGAACAGAAGCACCAAATGATTAGGTTGAAGGTAACATATCCCTATTTCTAATTAGAGGTCGATTGGATTATGATTCGTTCTCTCTTTTCTTTTTATTTTTTCAAAATTTTCCAAAGAAGAAGAGTCGTCCTCTCTTTTCTTTTCATCATTATTGTACGTGTTTAGTTTTGTAATTATTTGTCGAAGTATTTTTATAAAATAGTGATTAACAGACAAGCATACCAGGTGTTTGTGAAAATGTCTCACATATACCATGATTGTATCTGTTCATCAAATCACCACAATTTTCATCAAATCACCACAATTATAATTAGATACAGTTCTTTTCAGTTACTTATCTATTATAAATTTTTATTACATTTTCCTTTGTTATAGTATAAGGACTAAGTTTAATAATTTAAATGTAGTTTTTTTTTTCAGAGCTTCATCTTCACCTCCAAATTGGAAAAAAGTTGTTGATGAGAGGCCTGCAGGTATAACACCTCAAAATCATGTTATTGAATTCAATAATGGAATCTAAATGATATAATATCAATGTAATTTCATAGTTGGAGGTGAAGATCATTCATATTAGTTTTATTTTTTCAAATTCTATTTTTAGAGGGCAATGATTTTTTTATTCTTGGCTATTCCAAATTCATAGTTGACAATAAGGATCCAAGTTTCATCTTTTTTTTACTGGAGTTTTTTTATTTTTGATGGCAACAAACTCATAATGTTGGTGTTTGTTGGAGTACATTACTAATTTTATCGAGAGGCGAGCTCTTATTAGTCTCAAATATTATATAAATTTTAAAATAAAGTTATTAGCAAATGATTAAAAAAAGTTAGCATTCAATTGCTTAATAGTTGTACATCTAAAGATGTAATTAGAATAAGTTTTAGATAAGCAAGTTTGTCACTTGTATAACCTATATTGTTGCATGACATGATCCGTCAAATTTGTAACATATGCACCTTGTTTTTTTTTTCTCTAACGTTTCATTCTTGGGTGGAAACATATAAAGCTTTCATATATTTCTTTTTTTAGGGTTAGGTGGAGATGAAACACACCTATTTTTTTTTCAAAGTACAACTATTTTGTTACTTTGTCCCTTTTTTCTTCCTAGGTACATTTAACTTATTTGAATCCTCTTTTGAAATTATATTGGTTTTTCAGGATTACTGATGGCTCCTGCAGTTGTCGGAGCATGATCTAAATTGATAAATTTATAAATAAGACAAATAAGCAACATGTCCATAGGTGGTTTTCATGAGAATGTTTGTAACATACACCATTCACTATAATCTTAGTTAATAATTTGTTTTCATCTCTCTTTTTGTTTTTGTGGCATACATTGCACAAATTAGTAGATAGAGTAAAGTATATTTCTATTTTCTGCACTTTATCTACACGTTATATTTATTATCTTCTGAAAATCTATCTGAATTCTAACTTTTAAAGATAGCTAATGACTAAGTAGTTAACAAATTAAAAGGGAAAATATATTTAATATTTTAAACACATTAGAAAGTGAAACATAAAGGATGAGAGGTATATCTCCATCATGTTATGTTTATTAACATGTTATTATTTTGATTTTTGATTTTACAAAATACTACTTTACAAAATAATACTACATTATAATGAAAAAATATGAGCCAACTTTATTAATACCAAGTATAGAAACAAAAACCATTAACTAAAAGGCACACTATTAACATCAAATTTTATAGAATTTGTAGTATTTACAAATTTATTATCAATGACTATATTTTTGTAATTATCAACATTATTTTTATTTATCAACCGTGTAATAAAAATAACGTTATTTTTATAAAAGTTATTGATTTTAGATAAAAATAGTAAGTTGACCTATAAAACTTACAATATTATAATAAAAGAAGTGTTTCGAAATCTATGTTAAAATATTATGTTTATTTTATTTATCGTTAATTCAGGTTTACTTACAATCCAAAATAAGCTATAGTTTTTTATTGACATTTATTAGGGGTGTTCATGAATGGTTAACTGAACCGAAAATAAGTTTTGGAAGGTTAACCGATACTATCGGTTTGTTCATTTCTTGAACTTAAACCTAAACTGAAAAATCAGGTTACCAGTATTCGGTTAACTTATTTTCTCGGTTAGGTTATCCGGTTAACCAATTAACCATTACTAATTAACAAAAAATTGTTAAGATTGCTAAACCCCATAACAAATTTCCTAAAAAGAATGAATGTCAATGAATAATCCGTATAATTTGTTTAATTATGTTGTTGTTGTTATTAATAATGGAATTAGGATGAATTATCAAATATCCATGGAATATAGAAAATAATATCGACTAATACAAAAATATATTTTTTTAAATAATAGATAAAAGATAGTCAAATATGTAGTTATTTGTATGAAATGGTAATGAAATGAAATGATAATTTTAATCTATATCAACCTATGTATATTTATAACAAATGTTAATGATGACCATTATTGGTTTATCATGGAAAATATAAATAATATGACCGATTACTAATTATAATTGGAAATTTCTAAGAAATAATTTTGATGTTAACTTAAATGACAAAATATAAACATTATTTCAAAAAATAGAAAATAAAATTTCGATTTTTCGGTTAACCGTCCGTAGCAAAAAACATGAACCTTAACTGGACGGAAAAGTCGAAGATTTTACCGATTCGGTTAACCAAACCGAAAAATTCAAAAATATCGGTTTGGTTAACCTGAAAATCGGTACGGTTTTTAGGTTTTTCGATTCGGTTTTCGGTCTTTGGATATTTTGAACACCTAACATGTAGTATTCTTTTTAGTCATTTTACCAAAAACAATTATCATTCAAAAAGACTATTGCATGAATTAAAACGTCTTTGCTCTGTTAGCTACATCTTAAAAAAAATTCCACATCAAACGGTCAAACTTATTTCGTAAAAGTAAATTCATTCAGTTAACATACCTGTTTCTGTAGAGAAGTATTCAACTCCATTTCCATCGAGCAGCTTAAGGCTACCTTCTTCTGAAACAGCAAGAACTCCAGTGGAATCCAGCACTGGTTTATCACGATTAGCCACCCACACCACGGTCTTTGGATCCATGGTATACCATACACCCACATATCGTCTTACTTCTGATGATTCCTCACGTGAAAAGAAGCCCATTTGAAACTTCTTCTCCGGAGATTCTAAATAATCTGAACCATCACTGATGTTTTGCCCCGTTGTTATAATGTCTCTTGCTACATAGCAGGAGAAACAACCCACCATGAATGTACAGAAGGAGATGATTTGCTTATTAGTGTCTGAAGATATCATGATGAGTTTCTGAACGTAACTTCGAACTGTTTGATGAAGATGGAATAGTGATGAGTGTTAGGTGCCTACGTGAACAAAGAATTATGAAAGAGAGCTCAATTTTCTACGTCAAGTCTTAGTCTTCTAATAGGTCAAAATTTATATGTGAGGTTCGGGTTAATCGTCTGTACATGGAATTTGGATTATTCAGAAATATGAGTGTTGGCCATCCATGTGAATGCATTCATTATAATTCGACAAACCGTAAGAGAGACAGCTACCAGTATCATAACTCATAAGTTATTTTGACATATATACTTCAATAACCATAGAGTTACATCCATGAATAGCAGAAAATTACATTAATCCCCCAAAGTTACGCTTCTGTATATCATTAAAGTTATGCCTAAACGAAGTTATGATAAAATTGGTAATAAGAAACTACGAATTGATATTTACTGATCTCCTTAGGGACAAATAGGAGATCAAAAAAATGGATTTATGAGATTTCACTTTTGAAAACTAAAATGAAACGGAATTTTGAACCATTTTGCAAAAAAAATTACGTAACTTGGATTATAATTTTTTCTATTTTGGGCAATCTAGTGGGTTGAAGATGTCAATAATATAACTATTCGTATAATATTTAGTATATATTTGTTAAGAATTTTTAGTATACTTTGTTATTTTAAAATAGAAAATTAAAAATATATAGACAAAAATGTGTTGGTTTGGTGTAACAAATTGCTTTCCACATAAAAAGTTCATCAATTAAATTTTCTTTTAAAAAATTGTATTTATAAATTATAATTGCAATATCACCAAAGAACATTCACAAGTTATATTAAAGAATAAAATCTGAAGTTTTATTACTTAGGGCATCCGTTAAATAGAGTTCAATGGATTGTCACATCATCTTTCTACATTGTAACATCCGTTTTCAGGTATTATCCTTTTGATTAATTATTCTAAGTTTTCGAAGTTTTTGGGGATTTTGGTTGACCGCCACATGGTGATGAATAACCACCTACATGGCGCAACCACATTAATTATTTGGCCACATCATTTAAGTGGCCACAACGTGGTTGGCCACGACGCGGTGGCAGTTGAGTTCAAAGCCCTAGATCTTGGGTCTTTGGTCATATTTAAGTAACCTTATGATTAGGTTTTCTCGCATAACTAGTCTTCGTCCCCTCATATAGAAACCCTAGTATGCATGTGTTCTTAGTGTTTGAGTGTGTCCTGTTGGTGTTTCAAGCTTGGAAGGAAGAGTGGTGTCCTTGTTGCTTGAAGAAGGTGTTTGAGACTTCAGATCTTGTATCACCTACACTTCTTCGAGCTTTAGGAGGTAGCTTGTGTTAGTTCTTCTATTGTTGAGGTTATAGTTGAGCTTCAATTGTTTAGCTTAGGTGAGTTTCCTCAGTATATTATGTATTTTCCTATATGTCCTTATATGGTATGATGTAGAGGAGTGTTGGTATGTTGGTTAGAGTGTCGGTAAGATTGGTGATCATCGAGTGCTTGTCGTAGGGTTTATATGTACTCAAGTAAGATAGCCTGAGAATTCTTGATCTAGGCCTTTTGGTTTGTTCCTCATTTGGTTGTGGCTTTAGGGTAGGATCAACTGTTCAACTGTCTATCTTGTGACAACCCAGAAAATACGTCACCAACCGCTGTCAGAATTTAGTGTTTCGGAATCATGTAATAGGACCACAATGTAATAATATAACATATGGAGAAATATATTCGATTTGTCCTTAATTTAAACAATTACGTCAACTTTTGGATCAGAAATAAGTATGTGAAAAATCGTATCATCTTATGAGTAGGTTAACATTTTTAGAATGTACATAACAGCAGGATTCCAAAAATACAAATTTCGTAAAAATCTGACTTAGTACGGAAAATATATGATTTTTATAATGAATAAAAATCTATCACACATAAAAAGTTACAACATCAAAACTACAAAGAAAACGGTCGACTTTTAGCAAAAGTCACCAAAATGAAAATCGTAGTACCTCAAAGTAGGAATTTTGAGACAAAGAACGCTTAAAATGGAATACCAACGAGAGAATTATGATTTTTATAAAATCATAACAATTATAAAATACGGTCTAAAGATAAAACTTAAACTTGGCCAAAACGACCAAAAGGAAAGTTGTAGTGTACGTCGATACCTACATAGGGATATAAGTATTGTTGAAAAAAGAGCTCGTACACAGGAGATACAAATTTTTAAAGTTGGAAATTCGTTTGCGCCCGTACCCATGCGCGGCATGCGGGGCGCATTTTGACGTGTAGATCCATCAGGATACGAATGATGTGGCACGAATGAAGGCGGACAGATGGCAGCTCCCGGGTGGAGCCACACGCACATTGCTCAGCATGCACTCCAAAACTTTTTATAAATAGCAAGCTCCGGCAATTTAGTTTGGACACCAACACATATCTCTCTCATTCTCGATTTATGTGCCCCTACCTCCTGAGTGGTTCCCGAGTTCCGGAATTATGATTCTACCCTACATCAACGGTTCACGCTTCAAAAGTGAGTTTACGGTCCCACTTTTATAGTTTTCAAACCTTTTACATGTTTAATACATGCTATACTATTACTGATTTCATAATTATTACTAACTGTATAGCATTAGTTATATAATTATGCCTAGAACATTAGGGTAATCTTGTAACATCCAAATTTTCAAGACCAAAAATTTCATTTTGATCTAACGATTTAGAAAACATTTATAAGAAAACATCATCAATTTACATCATTCCATAAAACCATAATCACATGTTTCAAACCATATCATAAAAATAATAATAAAATCAGAGTACAATCCCAAGAATCTCATAATGCGGAAATCCTGTGTGTGTGCGATACGTTGCTACCGTGCCAGCTCCTTCCCCTTCGATGAAGAGGTATCTGAAAACAAAACTGAAAACTGTAAGCACAAATCTTAGTGAGTTCCCTCATCATACCACATACCATACATAACACATACTGCAAAACATAATTGGGTACTAACTACCCCTTCGGTCCTGTCGACTGGTACTTTGCCTAGCATATCTGGGTGCTGGCCTCCTATTCAGCCCTGCCGATTGGTACCTTGCCTAGCATATCAGTGTAACGACCCAAAATTCAAGACCAAAAATTTCTTTTAATAAAACATTACTTAAAGCAAAATCATCAATCCAAAACATAACAGAGTATTAATTTACAAAACACATGTTCGTTATCAGAGTAAAACATTCCCAGGCTATCTAATCAATGGTGTGTGCCATGCGATCACCCCGAGCTCTTCCCTTCGCTACCGGAAATACCTAAAACCAAAACCGAAAACAGTAAGCACGAAGCTTAGTGAGTTCCCCACCCTACCACATACTGCACATACTGGGCCAGGCCCGCTATTCTGGGCCTCACCCGCTATAACGGCCCCGCCTGGCTTCGAGCCCCGCTCGGATACAGATCTGTTTCACTTAGGCCTCGCCTGTCACAGGGCCTCGCCCGCCAACAAATAATAACACATAAACGTATCACAACACATACGCTAAACACATACGACTGATCCTGTCCTAAGGCCTCGCCTATCCTGGGCCTCGCCCTTGTCCTGCTACTGATGAGTCATGGAACCCCGTCCACGCTCCTATTAGTAGTGAGATACGGGCCCAGCCACTCTCACTCCTTCCCTAACTTGGGCCTCGCCCCTGTTCTGCTACTAATGAGATATGGAACCCCATCCACACTCTGTTATTGGTGAGATACGGGACCTCGCCCACACTCACCTCCCTACCAGGCACATACATGTATCACACAGACAACAAGTATAAACTATCATATAAACAAATCCTTGAGCACCCGCCCGCTATTAATGGACCTCGTCCTGAATATCATACTAGCATACTGTGCCTAGGGCTAACTCCCGGGCCTTCTACTCATAACTACATGGGTCGGTATTGTAGCCTTAGACCCATTCACACAAAGGGAAACTCACTTGCACTGGCTGAACTTGCTGATGATCTCACTAGTTGCAGGCCGGCAACTCTCTGAACTCCTGCTCCCCTTGCTCCCCGAACTACCAATATCAAAGCAACACTGAGTCTAACTGACCCCCGAGAGACAACCAAGTCAACTCTGGTCAAAGTCAAAGTCTTGGTCAAGGTCAACCTCCCCGGTCAACCCTACTCGCCGAGTCAACCTACTGACTCGCCGAGTTCATATATTCAGAGTCCTTCCTTTTGCGTCTCGACTCACCGAGTCAGTCCATGACTCTCTGAGTCTACCGATTTCTGAGTCCTAACCTGTCCAACTCACCGAGTCTCCACTCGACTCACTGATTCGAGTCTCAACTCGAAGGGTTTGGGGTATCGCGACCTGACTCGCTACTCGCCGAGTACAAGGCAATCTTCATCTGACTCGACGAGCTGTTCATCCCACTCGTCGAGTTTCTCCTACTCTTCATGCTACTCGCTGAGTCCACTCTAAGGACTCGCCGAGTCCATTCATATCTCCTTACATGCAGAGGACTTTTGAGTCATGCATGGACTCCAAACTGTAGATCCACCCTTCCCAAGCCTATTCCTCACGTAAAGTTGCAAACTTTATGTGTAGAGAAGGAGATGAAGGAAAAATACACCATAAACTAGGCTTTAAGGCAAAGAGGCTCCATAATCAACTCAAGGGCAGATACTTTACGCTTCTCAAGACCATAATATGCTTAGATCCGAAGTAGCAACTTCAAATCTGGCTTCTAACTCAAAAGGGGTAGCTAATCATGGCTAGAAAACCCCCAAAACTCACAACCATAATAGATCTAAAGGAGAGAAACGACTTAATACCTTCAATAACTCAGAAAGTTTCCCCAAATCTTTAGATCTAAGGCCAATCCTTGAAGCTTCAATGATTCCCCTTCTTTTTCTCCCTTCAAATCACCCAAAAATGGCTTGGAAGCTTGAATGAGCAACAATGGGGCTTAGGGTTCGATGTTCTGGGTGAAAGAGGCAGTAAAGGAACCCTAGGG